TTTTCTAAGAGATTACTGGGAAATAAATGATGTGGGAGCACAGCCTGTCACACCGTAAATAATAAAAAGTTAGACATTTTGGGAAATATGCAAATTTTCTTTGTTGCTGAGATGAGAAGAAGGACACTACTCCCATGTCTGCAAAGAGGTGCCCTTCAGCTTAACTTGGCACAGATGGGAAGAGCTAAGGTAGCAAAATCTACCTCTAAAACTCACCCATTAACACATTTTATCCCCTTTTTTGTTGCTTTTACACTTTGTTTTTGTGCAAATTAAACAAATTAAATATAACGTGTTAATTTGTGAGCTTTGGAGGAGTTAAAAGTTGTATTTTGTTAGCTTTGGACAGAGCCAGGCTAGCTGTTTCAATCTGTTTCCAGCCTTTGTGCTGAGATAAGTTAGCTGGCTTCTGGTGGTGGCTTCATATTGAGTGTACAGATATGAAACTCGTGTAGATCTTCTCATCTAACTCTTGGCAGCAAAGTGCATTTCTCAAATTCTCAAACTTTTTATTCAAAGGGGAATTACACTTCTAAGTGGCCTTGGATATCAAGATGTTAGCTAAGTGATGTGGCTCTTTGTGTATATATCTGCTTTTAGATAGACAGCTGTGCAAGTACTGATAAACCTCAGAGCTTTTTACATTGTTCTTCACTTCACTCGTGGACATGGACTCAGTAAAGTGGCTAAATATGCAGGTGCACTATCTCAGGCCTCTTCTTACTATGCAATTAGCTTTTTGGTGAGAGTCAGATGAAATGAAGGACACCACTTTCATAACTGTACTCTGAATATAAAGCCACCACCAGCAGCCAGATAATTCAGCTAGCTTAGCACAAAGACTGGACAGAAAAGGCTATCCAAAGCTAACAAAATCCTCCTTGTAGCACCTCTGAAACTAATTAATTAAAGCATTATATCTCATTTGTTCAATCCACACGTGCTCCCACATCATTTATTCCCCAAAAATCTTTAAGAAAAGGGAAGACACCTGTAGCATATCGCTAAATCTCACAGATGTGTAAAGCCCAACATGGACAAGACTTGAAAATTAGAAATAGTTATAAACTCTCTGTGCAACACATCAGTTTCATTCTTTGTTTTGGAACTATGTTAAATTGCATTGTCCCTATTAAATAAATAAGTTAATTAAAAACAACAAACAAAAATTAAAAAAAAAACGTGCCCATATTTCATGCAAGGATTTAGACAGTGGATGTTAAAAAAAAATATATAATATGTGTTTAAAAGATGAAAGCATTTACTGTGCAGTGTAGTGTGTAATGCAGTGGTAAAAACTGAGTCTTCATTTGCTCCTCTTGGCTTTATCTTTATGAGAAATGACAAACGTGGCAAATTCTTTCTTTCCGCGAATGAACACTGGTTTCACAAATACTGACGGCGAGGTGTGACTGGTGAGCTCCATGCGTTAATAGGCCTCACCAGCTGACCACATTCCACAGCTGTGTGGAATGGCTCAAGGTCCAAACGCACGCACGCACGCACGCACGCACGCACGCACGCACGCACGCACGCACGCACGCACGTTCATACCACCTTCATATCTGCTCAGTTGGGAAGAAAAAAACATGAGGGGATTCAGGAAAGTCAGTGAGTTTAAGTCTCAACTACCTTCAAAGTGTTTCCACTATATGAAACAGCGGCTCCAAGTTAATGTGGGATTTAGGACATAGGCTTTTTTGCACATGTGCTAACCTTCGTCCTGGCTTTGAAGGATAAAAGTCTATTATTTCAAATGAGGATAAAAAAGTATATAGATGACAATTCTCTCTGTAGGACTTTAATTTTAGACTTCAATATGTTTTATATGATGGTGTATTAGGGCGTTCTTTGAGACATGCCCACAACCCTATTAGATCAACTCAAGCACCACTTCATCAACACCACTGTGAATGGATTTTAACATTATTCATTACATGGAATCGGCTGTTGTTGGAATTATTTTTTGCCATGCTAAGAAGAGTTTTTCTGGGGATCCCATCATCGGTCGTTATCGTTGGTCTTTCCACCACTTTGGTCCAGATTTAATCATTTCAACAACTATTGGATGAAATTGAGATTTTGTATGAATCCTGATGACTTTTTTGAGCCCGTTATTTTTCATCTAGCATCACCATGACATCCACATTTGTGGTTTTTAGTGAAATGTTTCGACATGATCCCGGTTCAGTGTCTCCCCAAGGACACTATAACATGTCGACAAGAAGAGCAGGGGATCAAACTGCCAACCCAGAGGTGACCGTACAACCTGCTCTGCCTCCTGATCAAGAGCTGCTGACCGTTAACTTTCCATTTAAGTTATGATCAAATAACCCCAAAAAGACTGAGCACTTATGATGAGATCAACATGAAAAGTTGTTTTTGTTCCTAAAACTCCCAACAAATTGAGAAAGTAATGAGTGGAAAATGTCCATTATTTCAGGAAAGCTGCAGAATCAGCTGTTGGCTCCAGTGATCTGCTCAGAAATCTGGATTTTATGAAGCTGTGGTTGGTTTTTACACTGAAACTGCAGGAATAAACTCCAGGTTTAAGGTCAGACATCCTCACAGTGTTCCTGTGTGTTTAAGGCTGTTTAATAGGCTCTGTGTTTGACATGTGTTTAGAGTTTGGGAATCGGTGACAGGTGACAGAGGAGCAGATGGAAAATGTGTCACATTGTTGTGCTTATAAATTTCCAGTGGAGAAAAAAAAAGCAGGTGCACAGAATCTTTTTTTTTTTTCATGATCCTGTGTCTGATCAATAACACTGATTAGATCCTGAACTGATACAGTTTGTCAAGAGTGAAGCTCTTCCTGTTTACACTACAGTCATGTCTAATGAGTTTTTGCATTAATGTGGCACCAGCCAGTGGCTGCCTGAATAGCAAAATGAAACTTCTGGCCCAACAGGGGCCCTGTTATCCTCCACCATCGACTGACAGCCGGAAGGTTTTCTGTGTGTGCACCAGAATTGGTCCAGATATGGAAGTAGCATCTTACAGTCTTGCTGTATATGGGCCAGATTTGGGCTGTGGAACCGGGCGCATACTGGGTCCGAGTATGGTATGTTTATACATGCAGTTTAGTTTAATCTGTGTTGTCAGGTGATGTTTTTGGACCCACTCTATCGGGTCGTTTCTCTCTGGTGGAGCTAACTTTGTGCACGGCCTCATTTAGCATTATCACTGCTACAGCTGCGGTTTCTGACTGGAATATGCATCATGTTAGCTGCCAAATTTGACAAACATTAGTCTGTGGTTTAAAAAAAAAGGAAAGAAAAGTATGCAATGCAAGAATGTGTGTTGGATACAAATTCAGCTCTAAACAGTAATTTCATTGGTCCCCAGCAGCAGCTTTATTTCTAAAAAGTGAGAATTGTCCATATATATATATATATATACATATATACACACCATATGTGGATTGCATCACATCATGTCTACAGATTCGTCAGCTGTCTGTCTCCTGGGATCAGTTTCACAAAGACAGACTGACTGAGACTTCGATATAACAAACAGTCAGACTTCAGATCGACGTCTGAATTCATCTGTTGGACAAAGCAGTTTAGTTCTTGACTGTCTTAAGCAGGACTGTGGTACAATGAATTCTGGGTAAATTAAAGACTTTTTAAAAAAAAAGAAAAAAAGAAAAGGCAGACCGAGGAAGCACATTGAATTGCCCCACTCCGTTTACCCTCAGGAGAAAATGTTTGTCTTTTGGAAGAATTCAACAGTTACAAAGACGTTTTACTTGAAGAGTGAAACAACAAAAAGAAAAATGTGGTCTTAGTCTGGGGTAATTTTTTTTGGCTTATAATGAGTCAGTCTTTATTGTTGTCTTACTTGCATTAGACCTAATCTATGAGCAAAATGAAGACTGAACCAACACTAGAACATCTTTGTGAAACCGGCATCCCAATCTTTCCACAAACCCCCTGCCATATCTAGAAGTAGGCCTATCACTGGATCCACCATCTTGTACATTATCAAGACGACCAGGGTTCAAGTGTGTGTGTGTGTGTGTGTGTGTGTGTGTGTGTGTGTGCGTGCATGCGTGCAGCAGTCCACACCCTGCAGATGTGTCCTTGAGCAAGACACTAAATTGCCAGCAGCTCCAGGGGTGCTGCTGCCTGTCTCCAAGACCCTGACCCGTGACACCTCTCTGGAAGGGGCCCAAGAGAGAAAAGGTGATTGTGTCCACAGTGATGAATAATATATCACACTTTTATTATTACACCTCCACACCGGCCCACCAATCTCTATAGTGGTCGGCCTGTCACTCTGAACCAACTCCAACCGGACAATAATGAAAGGTCAGAGGTCAGCCGTGTACCTCTGAGTCTAAATTTACATGGATCCTGGAGTTGTATCACAGAGACGACAATTTGGCTTTGAGGTTTTTTTTGTTTTTTGTTTTTTTTTTAAAGCCAAATGGTTCAAAACTGTATTTGGAAATGTTGATGTTTTGTTTAAACTGATGCATTTCGCTTACATTAAGAGAAGGAACTGTTTACACACTGTAAGATGAGGGAACACTCATTTTGAGACACCTGGACCTTCGCAATATTTGGCATTTTTGCTTGAAAACATTAACTGATCATCAAATACATTTTCTGTCCATTAACTTATTGATTAATGAGGATAAAAACAGCTAAAATGACACTGGATTCACTTGGGCAATAATCAAAAACAAACAGTGTCCATTCAGTGCCCACGTTCCCTGAAGTTATACTACACCCCCGCCCCTCCCCGCCACCAGTGCCTGGTCTGTGGTCCTTAAAAAGTAATAGGGACGCTCTCTCGGTACCTGGACCCGACCCTCCACCTATCAGAGGCCGCGACTGCTTCCAAAGCTCCGCCGGCGGCCGAGCGCATTGGCCGCTCCGCGCGTCAATCATGATTTCGGGCGGCGTGTGGGAGGAGCCGGGTAGAGGGGGGTGGTGGCGGGTTAGAGGCGGTGCGACTGTCAATTGTGTTCCCAGTCCTCGTCAAAACTCGGCTGTTGTTGCTCGGAGTACGATCAAGACGACTGCTCAGTGGCCGTGTCTGGTCCGGGCAGTGCGCTCCGCGGTGACAGGAGAGCGGATCTTCTGTTAACCTGGCGCAAACCGCAGCGGAACTTCGCTCCTTTTTCTGCACTTTGACATCGATGTGTTTTGGGGGAGAGGAGGAAGGAGCAGGGTTTCGGGTAGACCCCGCTGTGACCAACGCTGGATTTGTTTTCAAACATTTTTTCTTCCCTCCTTCACCACCTCGCCTTCATCTCCATCTCTCATCCGGCGGGTTCTTTTCTGGTGTCTAGACCGCCTCGAAGACGAGCAGCTCGGGGAACAGTGAGGACTTGTTGCGCGTCTCCGGGGAGCGCACCAGTCCAGTTTTCATCCAAGTCGATACTGTACCTGCGTGCGATGCTTTGATTTGAGCGGTGCGACGTGTCTGCGGAGCGGGAATGGACTGTGGAGATCAGCTCGGACTAACAGCCTGAAGTCAGCACGGCTCGGTGCTCAGTGACGATGAGAATCTGATCATAATTAACGAAATTGGGGTGATTGGTTTTCTTCAGTGTGACCGAGCTGCTGTTGCTGCTGCTGCCGCTGCTGCTGCTGCTGCACGGCTGATGCTTTAGGAGCCTGTTTCTGCTTTAAATGGCACCCACGCTCAACCGAGGCAAACTTTATTCGGGTCAGATCCGACGAGTTGATTAATTTCCTTTTTTCTTTTTTAATTTTTTTTAAACTTGAATCGAGCATTTGCTTCTCATCGACATGTCTGAACGAGATGGATTTGGAGACGGGCTGTGCAGCGACGGAGCGCCGGACTGCATCCCGCCTAGAGCGTCCCGCGGCCGGCGGAGCGGAGTCATCCTCCCCGGTGGCGGCCAGGACACCGACACCATCCTGCTGGAGTCGGTGAAGGCAGCACCTCGCCGAAGCAGCATCATAAAGGTAAGGAGATGGTTTTTTTCACTAGTTGTTTTAGCTTCATTCCGCCTGTGAACCCCGCTCCTCTCATGGGAATATCAGTCTGGAACCATTTTGTTCAAGATGGCCAATAATGGTGTAAAATAGCACCTTGGGTGACAAAGTATTACCAAAATATTCAAGGTGATGTTGTTGGAAAATGTCTCAACAAGTGAAGTGTCTCATAAGGAAAATGACAAAAAAGTGAAACTGGAGTAAAAATGACAACAAGTCTGCTTTAGTCCCGACGCCTGGTTCACAGACCAGTCTGGCTGCTGGTCTTCCCTGCGTCCTCCAAGACCACACGGGTGGATTTTACGCACACGCATCTTGTGCCACTTGGCCTCACCATCACTAATTTCCCGTGCCCTTTTTTTCCCCACACGTGCGTAATTTCAAATGCCACAATCTCTCACAATCCGTGTCCTTTGACAGAGTTTCAGAAGTCGCCACACCACATTCTCAGATGAGAGGATATGTCAGTGCTAGGTCACAGAAACATCTGACTTCTCAGTGTGACAGTAAACGCAGCAGCGTGGGGATTTAAACGCAGTAGCCACATGCAATTAAAAGCACCTTAAGGATTAGTTTTTCCCTCATAAGAATGAGCTTTAATATAAATTTTAAAGGATTAAACACCATGACAATAAAGTCCCTCACAGCTGTGATCCTACTGGCTTTCATCAGGGAAAGACCCCTCACCTACTGACCCACAGACCCACCCATCGACGTCATGGTGACATCATGCTTTTCCACCCTCACCTGTGCTCAGGTTGCAGGTCACTGGACCCCACAAGGGAGCGGGGAGGTGTGGAGGTGTGGAGGATCATGTTTGGGGATCATTAGCTCTCATTGTCTTAGATATCTGCTCAGCAGGAGCCTCTCCACCCCAGGTGATGTGTCACCTGTCTCAGCGGCATCGGAGGAATGTAGAGAAGTGTATTTACTCAGCTGCTTGAGGACAAGTTCTGAGAGGCCGTACTCCACCGGAGTATTTTCATTCCACCACAGTTCAGAGATAAATATTGTACGTCTTGCTGCACTATGTTTAGTTAGTATTTTTCAGTTTTAAATTTTATATTAAAAACATATGTTAATCGTATAAAATGCAACACACTGCTCAGGCTTAAATCAACGTTTTTGGCTCATGATTTAAAATAAATCTCCTTGTCATGTTTGAGTTGTCAAAAACTCAAAGATTAGAGAAAAGTTTAATAACTGGAAACAGATTTTTGGGTCAGAACTTTATTTTCTTCTTCTTTCCTCTTCCATTAAACATCTCACGACCCCTCAGACTCACCCTGAGACCCCTTCTGAGGGGCCCGACCCTATGTTTGGAACCACTGGACTAAATAACCTAACTGTATTTCAAACAGGAGAGACTAATAAGAGTAACAATGAGAAATCTAAATAAGGTGAAATTTATTGTGAACAAAAGGAATAGACTTTGGCCCTGGCACCGTGTCAGGCTGTGACTGGATGAAGACAAGAATGAGTGGGTCGAGTTTCTAGATAACGGGAAACGGCGCTTGTGACTCAGAAGGCGTGTGTGAGGAGATAGTCTTCCTGACTGATCTTTCGCTAAGCTTCATTCATCAATCTTCTGATTATTTTCTGGATCAATGTATGTAATTGTTTTGTCTATGAAGTATCAGAAAATAGTGAAACAACACAGAAGAGCATTGAATTCTCAAACGTGAGAAGACATCAGGTGTTTGGCTTTTTGGATTTAAAAATGATTCACTCACTTGGGCGGCACGGTGGTGCAGTGGTTAGCAAGAGGTTCTCTGGGTTTGACTGTGCTGCGTGTGGAGTTTGTGCCTGTGTGGGTTTCCTTCAGGTATGCCAGCCAATCAGAAGAGCCTCCTCTCTTCTGATTGGCTCAGCGACCTGTTGTTACTAGAGCTCCAGAGAGGAGATGTAAAACTACACTGAGATGTTTTTGGTTCTTAAAACCACAAATATATCTTCTTATGGTGCATCAGTATTAATATTATTCAATATATCAGTTTCTGCAAAACAAGTACTTTTACTTTTAAAACTTTACGTAAATTTTACCGATAAAACTTCTTCTTCTTTGCATTTCACCTTTCACTTGTAATGCAGTATTTCTACACCGCGGTACTTGTACTTGTACTTCAGTAAATGATCTGAGTGCTTCTCTTTACAAGGATTTCTGTGACGTTAAAAACAGCTGAGGGAGGAAAAGACTGATGCTCCTCTGGTTTATGACCTTCTCAGCCCGTTTCACATCTGACGCAAACGTCCAGCTCCATATTTCATGTCAGCGGTCAGGTCACGGGGGGGTGGACACTCTGCCAGGGTCTCGTCCATACTGTACGTAGCCTATGGGGCCGTTAGTCTGCCCGGTGAGCCCCATCTGGAAGACCCAGCTGAACTGAGAGTCCTTTGACTGCTGCTGCGGAGGAAGTGGATGAAAGGATGGACAGATGAGAGGAGTGATGTCGGCGACAGGCACGGTCAGCTGTGACAGACGGGGCTCGGTATCAAACCTCCACACCTGTCAGAGTCGGCCTGAATGTGCCAGAGTATCAGAAACTGTCAAACCCACTGGAAAACTAAACTCAGATTCTGAGTTTAATCTCCTGCTTTTTTATTTTATTTTATATAATCGTTAATCATTTTTAAGGGCAACAGTCTGAGGACGACATTTTGAGCTCCTATGATGGACATTTTGTGGATTAACCAAATACTCGTTTAATAAAGAAAATTATCGCCAGGTTAATTGATAATTAAAACCCAGCTAAAGTCAAGCTGAAATTTGAATTCTTCTCAGTTTGTGTGCAGGGGAATATAGTGACTGTAACTATACTGACAATGCAGCTATTGTGCATATACACACACACACACACACACACACACACACACACACACACACACACACACACACCTTTACTAAAATCAGACTTTCTATAATTCTTCAAGTCCGATGACACAACATTCACACTCCCTCCGTGCGGTGGAGGTGAGAAAGCACACGGGTCTTTTGAATTGTTTCATGTTAACAACACTATGAATGTCTCCAAGGTTAGGACCCTAATGTAGGCGGACGCTATCACAGCGGGAAGATAAGCAAAACTTTCTTCTTTTTGATAGTTCAAAATTTTGACCCAGGAAGTCAAAACAAACGCCAGACACACACAGTATCTGGTTTCTTAGAGAAACAACAAGACGGATTGGAAGCAGGATGGAGGGTGAGATTGAGTAGGAGGTAAGAGTTTAGATTTTTTGTTTTCCCTTTTTCACACACACAAGAGCTGAAACATGCCCTACACACACACACACACACACACACACACACACACACACACACACACACACACACACACACACACACACACACACACACACTCCTTGGTTAAGATTGAACCAACACACCTTCTCATTTTAGGGGAATTTCTTTGAGGTTACCAGTTGAGATGAAGGGAAAGGGTGAGGTTGGCTCCTGCGCAGCTCGCATTACTACGACAACACACGCTCACACATGTCTGAGACGCCCACACTTTACCTTCTGCACACACACACACACACACACACAACACACCCCTATTTATTCAGCTCACCCCAACAAAACACACACACACACACACACACACACACACACACACACACACACACATATGCAGGGAATTGAGATAATACTTGTTCAGTCTGCAACTTCTGAATTGTTGCATGGTTGCAATAATTGTACATTAGCAAGAGCCTCAATTTACAGTAGGTACTTGTTAAAGATCATCATCATCATCATCATCATCATCATCAATTTCCCCATAAGTAGTTTTAAAGTTGTTAAAATCATATGATCCCACACTGTCTCAGAGAATCATATCCGTTGAAATATTTAATGTCTTTGAAAACGATGTTGGGATCTCCACTAGAATAAATAACGAAAATAAAGTTGAGGGGTTTTAAACAGTATTCAGCTGCACAGCCTCAGTTTCCTACTGGGCGACTGTGTTTCTGTTACACCGGCTCACACATGCCCAGTGTAGATGAATGGGCAGGTCTGCATGTGTTGTCAGGTGTGTAAGTCTTTGGGTCTCACTCTTTTTATAGGATTGTTGAGATCCGGGAGGGCCCACTGTCTTATAATCCATCCGTGTGTTGAAATACCATCAAGTTCAGATAAGTTTATTAACAGTGCAGAATGGAATGAAGAACAGTTTCAACATTTAGCACTAACACGGTTGAACTGGTAAACGTTGAATCACTTGAACCTGAGAGCAAAATGTCGCCACATGCACACGAAGATGAGTCAGTTTGAATGTGTTTCTGTTGTATTGGAAATTAGTTCAACTCAGACTTTTTTCCCACTTTGCATTTCAAAGTTTCCACAGTCGGTGATAGAGCTCCAACGATCAGTCGATTGACAGAAAATATTCTGATAACTGCTCAGTTGTTTCAGTCGTTTTTCAAGCAGCACGTTCTCTGGTTGCAGCTTCTCAAATGTGACGATTTGCTGTTTTTCTGTCATATATGACGGTAAATTGAAATTTAGACTGTTAAACAGACATTACTGTGGCTTCTTTGCTGTTTTTTTAACATTTCATACACTAAATGGTTAATGGATTCACTGAAAAAATAATTATTTTAGTAGATGATCAGGACTGTGTCATCAGGAACGTGCCCGCTAGGTGATTAGGAGACGCTGCAACTTACAAGATCATGGTCAACAGCTGAGCTGCCTCGTTGCCTCGTTCATGCATGCCCAGTATCTACACCTTGAAATTCATTTATTGTCCCAGCGATTTATCAGCTTCTCGGATTACTTAATTTATGATATGTTTGAATGTACGGTGGCTCGTACAAATACACAACCTGCCAGGACCGGTGGCAGTGGATGACCCTGTGGCTTTTGAGGCCCCAGTTTCCCCAGTTGATAATCCGGCTTTGTGTGAACGGTGGTAAATATCACAGTAGAACCATGAGTCACAGGATCCGACTGGCTGACTTTAAATCACTGA